CAATCCAAGACATCCAAAGTGTAGTTCTTCAGTTTTAGCACTGTTGCTGCAAGGATAATGTAGCTAACTAGTAAAGGAAGCTTATAGTTCGCAGTTAGCACAGTGCTAACTGCATGTCTAAATCACTGCACACTTGCTTCAAAGAGTGTAAAGTTGTTTGGTATCTCTGATAGACTGGATTATGTGGTTTCTGAGACTGTATGACTCACTGTTATCTACAAACCATAGCATCCGCTATTAGCATCCTGAAATTAGGTTGTTCTCTAGCCATCCACATTGCTTTTTCTGTCCTCGGTTGCTCTTTGTGCTCCACTGTAATTTAAGAGTGATCTTCAGACGTAACAAAAGAAGAGGAAAAACAATAATAATATCTGAGGTAAAATCAATACTGTTTTTGTCGTTCAGATGTAAACAACTAGCAATAGCTCACTAAAACATCCAAATACAGCCCAATCCAAGACATCCACAGTGTAGTTCTTTAGTTTTAGCACTGGAGCTACAAGGCTAATGTAGCTAACCAGTAAAGGAAGCTTATAGTTAGCAGTTAGCACAGTGCTAACTGTATGCCTAAATCACTGCACACTTGCTTCAAAGAGTGTGAAGTTGTTTAGTATCTCTAACAGACTGGATTATGTGGTTTCTGGCTATTTATGACTCACTGTTATCTATAAACATTAGCATCCGCTTTTAGCATCCTGAAATGCTAATTCTCCAACCATCCACATTGTTTTTTCTGTCCTCAGTTGCTCCCCGTGCTCCACTGTAATTTAAGAGTGATCTTCAAAAGTAACGATAGAAGAGTGGAGATGAAAATCACTAATATCTGAGGTAAAATCAATACTGCTTTTGTCATCTAAATGGAAACAGTTAGCAACAGTTCACTAAAACATCCAAATATAGCCCAATCCAAGATGTTTAGTTTAAGCACTGGAGCTACAAGGCTAATGTAGCTAAATAGTAAAGGAAGCTTATAGTTAGCAGTTAGCATGGTGCTTCAAACTTGCTTCAAAGAGTGTTAAGTTGTTAATATCTCTAACAGACTGGATTATGTGGTTTCTGAGACTGTATGACTCACTGTTATCTACAAACAGTAGTATTCGCTATTAGCAGCCTGAAATTAGCTTGTTCTCCAGCCATCTACGTTGCTTTTTCTGTCCTTGGTTGCTCTTTGTGCTCCACTGTAATTTAAGAGTGATCTTCAGACGTAACAAAAGAAGAGGAAAAACAATAATAATATCTGAGGTAAAATCAATACTGCTTTTGTCGTTCAGATGTAAACAACTAGCAATAGTTCACTAAAACATCCAAATATAGCCCAATCCAAGACATTTAGCTAGTTTTTGCACTGGAGCTACAAGGATAATGGAGCTAAATATTAAAGGAAGCTTATATTTAGCAGTTAGCACAGTGCTAACTGTAAGCCTAAATCACTGCACACTTGCTTCAAAGAGTGTGAAGTTGTTTAGTATCTCTGACAGACTGGATTATGTGGTTTCTGAGACTGTATGACTCACTGTTATCTATAAACATTAGCATCCGCTATTAGCATCCTGAAATGCTAATTCTCCAACCATCCACATTGTTTTTTCTGTCCTCAGTTGCTCTTTGTGCTCCACTGTAATTTAAGAGTGATCTTCAAAAGTAACGATAGAAGAGGAAAAACCCTTCGCTGGAGACGAAAATCAATAATGTCTGAGGTAAAATTAATACTGCTTTTGTCGTTCAGATGTAAACAGTTAGCAATAGTTCACTAAAACTTCCAAACAGAGCTCAATCCAAGACATTTAGTTTTAGCACTGGAGTTACAAGGATAATGGAGCTAAATATTAAAGGAAGCTTATATTTAGCAGTTAGCATGGTGCTAACTGTATGCCTAAATCACTGCACACTTGCTTCAAAGAGTGTGAAGTTGTTTAGTATCTCTGACAGACTGGATTATGTGGTTTCTGACACTGTATGACTCACTGTTATCTATAAACATTAGCATCCGCTATTAGCAGCCTGAAATACTAATTCTCCAACCATCCACATTGTTTTTTCTGTCCTTGGTTGCTCTTTGTGCTCCACTGTAATTTAAGAGTGATCTTCAGAAGTAATGAAAGATTAAAGTCAATAGTATCCGAGATTAAGTCAATAACGCTCTTGGCGTTCAAACGGAATCAATAAATCATTAAAACACATTAACAGACCAAATGCTGCAGCCCTGAGGATAAATTTGCATCGCTCTCTAAAGATTCATGAAAACTGGGAGTTGTTTATTTAATGCTGGCAAAGTGTCAGGAATAGCGCAGGCTAGATTAGATTAGCGCGAGGCTAATATTAAAAATAAACACTGATTGCTGTGGATTATTATTTCCTGACCGACTAAGCCACACCGTAGGCCCCAAGTAATCAGCTTTGGATCCCTCATACAGTCAGAACCCGAAGTGAGCACAGTCGTCCACTGCGGTTAAACAGATTAATACTCTGCAACTCTGGCCACAAAACCTTAAGCCCATTCTAATTACTTTAATCTCGGGTTTAGCGGGCAGCAACTGTGAAAGGGCCGCTAAAGAATGACCCCCAACCTAATTTCAGGACAGGAACACATTTGCCCACCGAGTTTTGTTACTCTCACCGCCTTATCGGTGGAGCACAGGCTCCTGGGAGCTTAAGCGTGGCTCTGGATTACTCCGTCAACCAAATATTTTTATTAGGAAACTTAGGCATTAGCATCTTTTTCCTAGCCGCCAGTTCCTGCGGTTGACGGATGTACTTGTTTCCATCTCAACGAGGCAAAAATTCTAGCGTGAATTCACTCCTGGTGTCCATTTATGTCCAGCTGGATGCAAATTACCACAGTGGGAGCTAATTCCACACAGTAAGGTGTTCATTCAGGACTGGACACAAGCTCCTTTATCTAAACACTACACGACCAAAATTACAGCCCAGCTGTGACGTCTAAAAAAAACTCAATCAGCTCTGTTTATGTAAACGGAACAGTGGAACCTTCCGGTAAAACCATTCGCCTGATTTCAGCACAACTTCCAGCAAGTGGGTTTGTTACATACACTCTTAAAAAAGGGTTCATGGCTTCTTTAGTAAACACAGTGGTTCTATTTGCATGCTAGTTCTGTGCATGGTGAAATGGTTCCTCAGATCGTAGAAGAATAAGCTGTATATGGTTCTACATGGAACCTTTTTGAAAATAGTCCTATATAGCGCCAAAAAAAATCTGCTTTAGTTACGATGTCAAGCTACAATAGAAGAACCCTTTTTGGTGCTATATATTTTGGTGTCATTTTACCATGCAAAGAACCATTTAAGCCTGCAAATGGTTCTCTGAGCATTTATGGGCCTATATAGAACCACCATTTTTAAGATTGTACATCAGAAACAATGCAGCTTAGAACAATATCCAGAACCAAAAAGAGATCTCTGAAGTTTTCAAAGTACTTTCAAACAATGTAAAGCCATTAATACCAATTTAAGGGTTCTTCCTAGAACTTTTACACTATGTGGAGGTTCTCTGAATGTTGAAAAGGTTCTTCACACTTGCGTATCCCTAAAGAACCTTTTGGTGGCCTGTTCTTTGGAGATGTAAGATTTTTAAAGATGTAAAGAAATTCCATTTGAAGTAAAGCCATGAATACCAAATCTATGGCTTCTGCCTAGATATCTGCTGTTATGTGAAGGTTCTTTAGACTTCAAAAAGGTTCTTCACACAGGCCTAAAGAACCTTTTGGTGGACGGTTCTTTGGAGATGTAAGATTTTTAAAGTTTGCAAAAAACTTTCATGTGAAGTAAAGCCATGAATACCAAATATGTGGGTCCTTGTGAATGTTCTTTAAACTTCAAAAAGGTTCTTCACACTCACATGTGCCTAAAGAACTTTTTGGTGGCTGGGTCTTTGGAAATGTAAGATTTTTAACAGTTTTAAAAATGCTGATGTGAAGTGAAGCCATGAATACCAAATCTATGGGTTCTTCCTGGAGTTCTGCCATTATGTGAAGGTTCTTTAAACTAAAGGTTCTTCACACTCACACATCCTGAAAACCCCTTTTGGAGTACGGTTCTTTTAAGATATTTAAAGATTTAGAGAACTTTTATATGAAGTAAAGCCATGAATACCAAATCTTTGGATTCTTCCTAGAGATTTGCCATAATTAGAAGGTTCTTTAAACTTCAAATAGGTTCTTTACACTCACACATCCCTAAAAACCCTTTTGGGGGATGGTTCTTTTAAGATGTTTAAAGATTTAGAGAACTTTCACATGAAGTAAAGCCATGAACACCAAATCTTTGGGTTCTTTCTGGAGCTTTGCCATTATGTGAGGGTTCTTTAAACTTCAAAAAGGTTCTTCACACTCACACACGCCTAAAAACCTTTTGGTGGACGATTCTTTTAAGCTTTTTAAAGTTTTACAGATATTTCATGTGAAGTAAAGCCATGAATACCAAATCTTTGGGTTCTTCCTAGAGATTTGCCATAATGTGAAGGTTCTTTAAACTTGAAATAGGCTCTTCACACTCACAAATCTCTGAAGAACCAACCAACAAAAGGTACTTAAGGGTAACAAAAGTGGTCACTGCACAAAGAACCCTTTTTGGAACCCTTTCCACTTGCCGTTTTTGCATTTTCATAACTTCTCCATTTAAATGACTTAATGTGGCTCAGATCCACCATAATGTCGGTTTCTATTGGTCTAAATTAGCTAATATCGGGATTTCAATGGACTCTACAGCAGCTTATTGAGTTTAAACGGCTAAAACAACAAATCATTCCCTGCAGCAGCGGCAGAAGCAAACAGGTAGTCGAGTACAATAGCCCGAGCAGTGTGTTTCCCAATCCTGCTCTTGGAGTTCCCCCCATTTTAGCGCTTTCCTGCACCAACCCACCCATTTTACCCTCGTGCGGGGCCTGGCAGTTCGCTAAGGAGCTGAATCAGGAATGCTGGCGAAGGAAAAACACCCAAATACTCAACGCACGGCTGGGAAAAAACCAGGGAGATCAGCTTTACCTTCTTCAGCCACTGATCCCAGCAGATAGTCCAGGAGGAGAATCCACAGCGGAGCCACATTCCTCCAGTCGAGCTGCATGGCTGGCGGAGTGTCGGTGAGCTCTGCAGATGAATTCGTCCCAGAAGATGAAGAAATAAAGGACCGAAAATGGAGATTTGGCGCTGGAGTACCGTCAGCTGGGCCTTGCAGCCATGGACCGCTCCAAAAGCCGCATCCAGGAGCAAGAACACGGCGCCAGGAGCAAGAAGTCCACCAAAGTTCACCAATCCAGCACCAACGGGGCTACTTTGTTTCTCCTTTTGGCAACAAATGGAAGGAAGTGGGTCTCAATAAACCAAGAAAAGTTGATCAACTTTTCCACGTCAAGCCCCAAAGCACTGCTGCTTGGATCTTCTGGTCCAAAAAAGCTGGAGATCTCCCAGTGATCCCCTCTAAACGGACCCCTTCAGGCTGGTGGTCTGGTGTAGCTGGTGCTGAGGGGTAAAAACCACAGCGTTTCCTCCAGTGGAAGAGCTTCACACCCTGTTTCTCTTTCTCCAATCTGTATCTCAGAATGGATTCTGGATGTCTTCACCTGGTCAGACAGGTCTGGACGCAGCACACCGTGCGATGAATTAACGTCCTTCATGAACAGAGAATCCAGCCGGGCTCCCTTTGTATGGCTTTCAGGAGAAAAAAATGCCCCAAAAATCCCTCAAAAGCGGAGCAGGGTGGTCGCGGTGAGCCCCTCCAGCTGCGCTCTTGCAGTGATGGAGGTGCAGATGTGGCTCTGTTTGCTCTAAATTGGGAAAATAATGCACCGAACAGAGGAATGTGGAGCGGAGAGGAAGGAAATCTGTAGATGAGTCGCTCGTCACTTCGACCCTCTCCGATCCGAGCTCCTACAATATGGTCAACACCGAGCAGAATGCGCCAACCTCCCCTTCTCGAAGCTCCGCCCACTCCCGACAACGCAGGCTCTCATTGGTCGGCTCGTCCAATCAATCATAAACGCAACCCACCCCTCCATTTCCAAACCATAATACATTTACTCAACCATACTTTAATCCAAATGTAGATCGTGTAGGACAGTGTTTATTATATAATATAATGAATTTAATGTTCAGAAGACGTTTTCACAGATATTAATGCACGTGTTGGTGATGATAATGATTATAGAGTTTGACTAAATTTACAATGACATGTTATAAAGAAATGTGACATGACTGTGATATCATATAATAATTATATGATAGTGATGATTATATTTTATGTATTATATTTTATGTATTGGTAAAAAATTAAAACATTATTTAATTAAGTGATTGATTAATGTAAATTAATAAAACAAACAAATAAGCTTTGTGTTTAGAAGACATAACCAGTGTAATGATTACATTATGAAGAAGATGATGGTTGTTTATGTATCATATCATGTATATTACATATCAACTGGTGATATAAGACTTTTCATAAGATACCATTAAATTAAAATAAATACTGAATTTAATTAATTGATTAATCTGTTAATTGATAAACAAATAAATAAACCTTGTGTTCAAAGAGTTTAAATTTTAGAGAGTTCAAATTTTTAGTTTTTTTTTAGTGGGAGTTTTTGGAGTTTTAATTACATATCATATTTGATAACTAACATAATGAACCAACAAACAAACAAATGCAATGCTAATTATGTTTGAATAAATATTTTTGATGTATGTAGGTGTTAATATAATAAAAAGTAACAAAAGAAAATAAATAAATGTTAATTTATGAAGCAATTAATTTACCTACACATACTTTTACGTTACCTAGACCATTTTATTACAATGGTATAATGACGTTATAAAGTGTAATATGGTAGTGAATTATTGCCACGTTAAAAAAAACACAAGAAAAAATTTAAATGTTAATTATATTTGTATAAATATTTTTAATGTATGTAGGTGTTGTTGATGATAATGAACAAGTGCATTACAATGTTATAGAGATTTTATTTATGTGACATGATCAGGAATTAGTGATAATATAAAAAATAATAAATGAAAATAAGTAAATATTATTTTCTGAAACAACTGACTCAACACAAACAAACAACACTACTTTTATATTCACTGGACCATTTTTGGTAGAGTGGTATAACGACATGTTGTAAAGAAGAGTAACATGGTAGCGAGTTACAAAAAAATACAGGAAAAATTAAAAAACAAAAATTAAATAAAAATAAACTTTAATTCATTACTTCAAAAAATAGATATGCAAATAAATAAATACAATGTTCAGAAGTTTGTAACTGTATTTTACAGCTACAGTGTTACAGAGTTTACCTCATTGGTGTAACAACAGAACACACAGAAATACAGAACATGTTTCTTTAAAAAATGTAAACAAACTTAAATTATTAAAGCTACACTCATGTAAACACTTCATACAATGATGAAGATTCAATGTTAAATGCATCAATATTATGTACAGCACTTTTACGTTATAACAGATAATGGCTATTAGCCTTTAATTTAGTACAGTAAGATTGATTTTAAAATAATTGTAAAATAATTAGTTACGTTTCAAAAAGTGAAACAAAAGCGAGATAATAAACATATAGTTGATGATGACTGATGAGATCTTCATAACTAACCATGTTCTCTGTTCTGCCTCATTCACATCCTCATTATTTCCACTTTAGCCTCCACGTAGGCTAAGATAGCTTTTAGCAGGGCTAAAGTTTGCATAGTCACTGTTAGCGCAGGCTAATTTATTTGAGCAGGCCTCTGAAAAGCGCTCAGTGTTTACTGTAGTGAGGCTTATCACTGCGGTTCTGTCAGTAATGGACAGATAAAACACGATCAAATATTTGAATCAAATTTAGTTCCCACCATAACAACACCTACATTTAGCTCTTATACAGAGCGACTTACTAAAGTGCTTTGTTGTCCACTCAGAGAACGTCTCCTAGCTAGAACAAACAGCTAGTACACCTGGGAACCCAAACGAACCGTGAGCTCAGACACTGCCAGAAACAGAAGCCAGCACTGATACCTAGAAAGAAAGACAGAATTAAACATACACACATAAAAAGATGGTTCTTCAAGGGTTCTTTAGCAAAGAAATTGGCTCTATATAGAACCATGAACACTCAAAAACACTTTGCATGATTAAAGGGTTCTTTACATGGTGAAATGGTTCTTCACACTGATAGAGACTGTAACCTTTTTGAAAATGGTTCTATACAGCATCAAAATGGGTTCTTCTGTTGTTACAAGCTTGACATCATAGACTCTTAAAAAAGATGGCTCTTCAAGGGTTCTTTGGTAAAGAAAATGGTTCTATATAGAACCGTGCACACTCAAAGAACCCTTTGCATGATTAAAGGGTTCTTTGTAAGGTGAAATGGTTCTTCAGGTTGATGGAGAATGCGTTGTGTATGGTTCTATATAGAAACTTTTTGAAGAGGGTTCCATATAGCATCAAAAAGGCTTCTTCTATTGTTATGATGACACAATACAAGATCCCTCTTTTGGTGCTATATAGAACCCATATTAAAAAGTTTCTATATAGAACCATACACAACGCATTCTCCATCAACCTGAAGAACCATTTCACCATGCAAAGAACCCTTTAATTATGCAAAGGGTTCATGGTTCTATATAGAGCTAATTTCTTTACTAAAGAATGCTTGATCAGTTCTAAGTGTGTACGTAATACATAATAGCAGAACCCTATATAGAACCATACACAACACATTCTGCATCAATCTGAAGAACGTTTTTACCATGCAAAGAACCATTTAAGCATGCAAGTTGTTCTTTGAGAGTTCATGGCTTTTTTACTAAAGAACCCTTGAAGAACCTTATTTTTTAAGTGTGTCAAAGAACCACTTTGGTTACCTTAAAACCTTTTTTTAAAACATTTTTATTAACGAGAAGTGAGAAAACTCCTCATAGGAAGAGGTTCTACGAAGAGCCCTTAAATTGTCAGTACTGGTACAGGCTCTTTAGGTCTTTATTGGGTTCTTCACACTCCCGCGGACCCCGGTTTTCTGATCGTTCAGTCTTCAGGAGCTGATGTGCTGCAGAAGCAGGAGGTAGAGAGTGATGATTTATAGAAAAGCATCAACTATCAAATGAGAGCGGAGCAGTAAAATAGTCCCTGTGGCGTGATGAGGCTGCATACACGCTGTTCTTAATCAGGTCTCACCATTAGACTGGAATAATAGCACAGCTGCGGAAGAACGTTAGCAGTACATTACAGCTGCTAACAGTAGATTTGTTAGCAGGCCAGGACTCACCGGGAGGTCCAGAGCTTTACTACACACGTCTATATCCTGAGAATAGGTCAGCCAGTTTACACTGTAGTCCACTTAGTTACTGAGTAATAAGCCTTAGTGTGTAATAAGCCTGAGATCAAGGCCCACAGATGGGTCTAAACTTCAGTAACTCAATCTCATAACTACAGAACTTAACATCATAGCAGTTACTGAATATCCTAAGAGTAATAACTGAATAATGTAGTTGTTACTGAGTGTCATAAGAGTAATAATTGAATAATGTAGTAGATACTGAATGTCCTAAGAGTAATAACTGCATAATATAGTAGTTACTGAATGTCATAAGAGTAATAACTGAATAATATAGCTGTTACTGAATGTCATAAGAGTGATAACTGCACAATATAGTAGACACTGAATGTTATAAGAGTAATAGAGTACATTACAGCTGCTACCATCAGTTTTACTCTCATCCTGTGGAAACTTAAAGCCCATAGACGCTCGGTCAACTTCAGTTCCTCACCCTCATAACCACATTCATAGTAGACACTGAATAACTGAATAAAAAGTCAGGGGACCAAGGGGTTAAAAATGTGAAAATTGAATATAATGTTTTTTTTAGAAAAAAATATTGAATTTTCCCTTCAAACTAATGGACCATTCCCATCTGATGGATCTGAAACCACTCTCCAAGGCAGACAGACCTGTCAAAACTGTCTTTGACACCTGAAAGCAGACCTCCAGAGACTTTCAGCAGTGATGTCTTTGTGACCCCTGAGTGTCACTGACTGAGAAGCATCGGATAGCCACTGTCAAATATGGTGGTGGATGGTCCAGTGGCTTTTGTGAAAATCAACAGCCTAAATATTTCCACTAATTGCCAGGAAATTTTAGGACAAAATCTGTTTGCCTCATCCAGAAAGCTGGATCTATCAGTAAGATAATGACCCCAAATACACAACAAAATCCACATCATTTTGCGATGGCCTTCTCTGTCTCCAGATTTAAACCCAACTAAGTGTGTATGTTTTAACTCCACTCCAGAAAATGCTGTTACAGGGAAAAGGACTCAAGTACAGTAACGAGAGTAAATGTGATGGGTTACTTTCCACCTCTGCCAGATTTGAACCCAACTGAAACCCCTTGGTGGGCGATGAAGTGGGCCATCCACAAAGCGAAGACCCAAGAACATCAAAGACCTGGAACTGTTCTGGGTGGAGGAGCAGTCTTCTTTCTGGAAATGCTTTGTTCTTGTTTGGTAATGTGCTCTTCCTCACATAAACTTAGATCTTCTCTAGAGTCGTTGGTTTGAGAATCGAGTAACAGTCACTCTTTACACCAAACTCTTGGGAAATGTCCTAAGAGTACTAACTGAATAATATAGTGGTTACTGAATGTCCTAAGAGTAATAACTGCATAATATAGTAGTTACTGAATGTCCTAAGAGTAATAACTGAATAATATAGTGGTTATTGAATGTCCTAAGAGTAATAACTGCATAATATAGTAGTTACTGAATGTCCTAAGAGTAATAACTGAATAATATAGTAGTTACTGAATGTCCTGAGAGTAATAACTGAATAATATAGTAGTTACTAAATGTCCTAAGAGTAATAACTGAATAATATAGT